GCATTTATTAACATTTTGAATATGTTGTTTTAATTTGAATGTTTTAGTAATTTTGTTGTATTACACTCCTTGGAGTAGAAAATAGTGGAAAATAATTAACCCTCAAAATTTAAATAATTTTTATTCTGATCAACAAAAGCCAGTGTTAGGAGACTATTATTATTATTTGTATTGTTGAAATTTTCCCATTCCGTTCTTGAGTGTTTCATGAGAATTACCACTGAAATTACAGTTAAATAAAAAGTAATCAAATGTCCACCACTCATTTTCAGTCCCAATTATGAGGAGCTTCTATAAAATGTAATTATAAATGATGCATATTGGATTTAGCACTCAAACACTTGAGTAAATGAAAATCTAAAGCATGCAATCAAACTTTAAAGATGTCAGTGAATGAGAAAAGCCTTTCTTTAGTGCTAAAATGTCAGTCACAATCACGCTTCAACACAGAATACAATCAACACGTTCTTGTAAGATGAAAATATAAAACACGTTTTCTTTATTTGCTGTATATAGACATATACCACTTGAGATTTGGAGAAAAGCACATATGAAGGCTATTTTATGATGGATCTCATCAGACAGCTGAATGCAGAGACAGAAAAGTTCTCAATTACAAATAGTAAAAAAGAAAAACATTAGAAATTAAATCCTAAACGTTTCTAACGCAGTTACAGAAGTCTGTCAAGTGGCTAATAACGGTTTTCATCTGTACACGAGAAAATTTGTACAAAATAAGAGATCTACCATTCAATAATAGATGGATCATAACAGTACATAATATGTACAATATCAGATGAAGCTGTTTAGTAGGGGGACGCATACTAAAGGACACTTTGCAGTTGTATTTTCTTTCATGAAACGAAACGGAAAGTGAAATTCACCACAATGAAAGCTTCCAGCTGGAAAAAGAACGCAAGTTATGCTATTGATACCGGCGAGAAAAATCATCTTTCGTAGACTTTCGCACAACAGCCCGAAAGAGGAAGGAGTTTAAATTAAAAACCCAAGAGAAAGGTCGGGAGAGAGAAAAATAACGCATATTAATCTATTGAAATCTGCACATTCAAATCGGACAGACGAGCTTATACGGGCCGAGAATAAAAACCGGACGACCGCAGAGAGTGAACTGCACCGTAGCTCCGACCAGACCAAACCCAATGGGAGTTCAAACAATGGTTCAGAGGGATTCGTCCTAAACCAAACCCAAGAAAGCAAACAAGTCAGAGAAAGTCGTTCAAGTTTATCAGGAGAATTTCTCTTTTGTCAGGCTTCTCCGGGTCCCGTTCTGACCGCATTTCTTGCGAGCGAAACCAGCAAATTTCAGACGAAATATACTTTTTTCCTCGATCTAAAAAGGCACTCTATGCAAATAAAGGCTTGGTCGAAAAACTGGGTAAACAGACCGTTCGGTATTGCCTGTTATATAGCTTTAACGCTCATCTAAAAACTAATTAACCACCGTAAGGCCGCTCACCATTGTTTGAACAACCAAAATCTCCCTGGACCAACTTATTGCCAAGTATCTGTACAAAAACGGAAGGGTATTTTGCAAGCGTGACGTGAAATACACACCGAGCCCGTTACATTTCAGACACAAGAACCACAGAAGAGAGCGAAACCTGAACGCGGCTCGCTGCTCTCGGCCTCCGAACAACCTGAGAATCGTTCGCTCGCCCGAATACAAGTGCGGTTCAGCTTAAAGCGTTAGTTCACCCAAAAATGAAAATGAAAAATTCTGTCATTGATTACTCAACATCATGTCGTTCCAAACCCGTAAGACCTTCGTTCATCTTCACAACACAAATTAAGATATTTCTGATGAAATCCGAGAGCTCTCTGATCCTGCATTGAGAGCAATGCAACTGAAATGTTGCCAGTCGCAGAAACGTAGTAAGGACATCGGTAAAACAGTCCATCAGTGGCTCAAGTTCAATTTTGCGAAGCTACGAGAAGACTTTTTGTGCGCAAAGAAAACAAAAATAACGACTTTACTCAACAATTGTCCTCCAAATCACGTATTCTGCCATTACAGAGAGTACCACGACACATCCAGAACGTAATCAGCGTTGTTTACGTTTAGCATGCGCGCGTTTCTTCCTGAACGTAAACAACGCTGATTACATTGATTACATTCTGGGGAAAGTGCGAACATGTGTTTTGGTACTCTCCGTTCAATTTTGCGAAGCTACGAGAAGACTTTTTGTGCGCAAAGAAAACAAAAATAAAGACTTTACTCAACAATTGTCCTCCAAATCACGTATTCTGCCATTACAGAGAGTACCACGACACATCCAGAACGTAATCAGCGTTGTTTACGTTTAGCATGCGCGCGTTTCTTCCTGAATGTAAACAACGCTGATTACATTGATTACATTCTGGGGAAAGTGCGAACATGTGTTTTGGTACTCTCCGTAGTGGCAGAATACGTGATTTGGAGGAGAAGAATTGTTGAATAAAGTCGTTATTTTAGTTTTCTTTGCGCACAAAAAGTATTCTCATAGCTTCGTAAAATTACGGTTGAATCACTGATGTTTTACCGATTTCCTTACTACGTTTCAGGGCCTGGGAACATTTCAGTTGCACTGCTGTCTATGCAGGGTTAGAGAGCTCTCGGATTTCATCAAAAATATCTTAATTTGTGTTCTGAAGATGAACGAAGATCTTACGGGTTTGGAATGGAGTTGCAAAGGGGTGGAAAATTTACGGTAAATTTCTGGAAACGTCCTGGAAGATTAAAAAAAATCCTGTAAAGTTTCCAAAATTTCTGGAACGTTTCTGAAATTTACTGGAAATTTTCCACCGGTTTGCAACCCTAGTTTGGAACTAGGGCTGCACGAAAAATCGCATGCGATTGTCATGCGCATCTCGTCAGTAAAGCCGGTTCTGTGATTAGTAGTAAATCTCCAGCACGTGCTTTCAGATGGAGCGGCATTTACTACACAGAGCCGTAGTTCACTGACAAGCTACGCAAAATCACGTTCATAATTGAAGGCGATTCATCATGTCATTTCACGCTCTTTTATTTTGTCTCTCCGCGCAGCTCCACAGAGACCAGCGTAGAGAACGTCCCCTGATGCGACGCAAGTCCGAGCTGCCTCAGGATAACTCCACCATGAAGGCCCTGGAGACGCACCGGCGTGCCGAGGAGATGATCGGTGCCCAGGATGGCCACTAGAGGACCACAGATGCTCGAAACCCAGTCCAGACCAGACCAGACCAGTCTCAGCCGGCGCCTTCAGCACAGATGACCAGCGGCGGAGGATGGCCCCGGTGTGACCCACAAACACACGAACCCATTCTGTCCAGAACCGACCGCGCCGGAGCCCATCCCACATCCAGACCTCCTCGATCCGCGCTAGTCCAGTCCCGACTCATCCTCTTCTCCACTTTCGTTTGTCAGTTTCTCTCTGTTAAAGGGATAGTTCACTCCAAAATGAAAATTCTGTCATTAATTACTCACCCTCATGTCGTTCCAAATAGGGCTGCACGATTAATCGCTTGTGATTGTCATGCGCATCTCGTCAGTAAAGCCTCGTACTGACAAGCTACACAGTATCACGTTCATAATCGCCGATGAATCGCCTTCAATTATGAACGTGATTTTGCGTAGCTTGTCAGTGAACTACGGCTTTGTGTAGTAAATGCCGCTCCATCTGAAAGCACGTGCTGGAGATTTACTACTAATCACAGAACCGGCTTTACTGACGAGATGCGCATGACAATCGCATGCGATTTTTCGTGCAGCCCTAGTTCCAAACTAGGGTTGCAAACCGGTGGAAAATTTCCAGTAAATTTCAGAAACGTTCCAGAAATTTTGGAAACTTTACAGGATTTTTTTTAATCTTCCAGGACGTTTCCAGAAATTTACCGTAAATTTTCCACCCCTTTGCAACTCCATTCCAAACCCGTAAGATCTTCGTTCATCTTCAGAACACAAATTAAGATATTTTTGATGAAATCCGAGAGCTCTCTAACCCTGCATAGACAGCAGTGCAACTGAAATGTTCCCAGGCCCTGAAACGTAGTAAGGAAATCGGTAAAACATCAGTGATTCAACCGTAATTTTACGAAGCTATGAGAATACTTTTTGTGCGCAAAGAAAACTAAAATAACGACTTTATTCAACAATTCTTCTCCTCCAAATCACGTATTCTGCCATTACGGAGAGTACCAAAACACATGTTCGCACTTTCCCCAGAATGTAATCAATGTAATCAGCGTTGTTTACATTCAGGAAGAAACGCGCGCATGCTAAACGTAAACAACGCTGATTACGTTCTGGATGTGTCGTGGTACTCTCTGTAATGGCAGAATACGTGATTTGGAGGAGAAGAATTGTTGAATAAAGTCGTTATTTTAGTTTTCTTTGCGCACAAAAAGTATTCTCATAGCTTCGTAAAATTACGGTTGAATCACTGATGTTTTACCGATTTCCTTACTACGTTTCAGGGCCTGGGAACATTTCAGTTGCACTGCTGTCTATGCAGGGTTAGAGAGCTCTCGGATTTCATCAAAAATATCTTAATTTGTGTTCTGAAGATGAACGAAGATCTTACGGGTTTGGAATGGAGTTGCAAAGGGGTGGAAAATTTACGGTAAATTTCTGGAAACGTCCTGGAAGATTAAAAAAAATCCTGTAAAGTTTCCAAAATTTCTGGAACGTTTCTGAAATTTACTGGAAATTTTCCACCGGTTTGCAACCCTAGTTTGGAACTAGGGCTGCACGAAAAATCGCATGCGATTGTCATGCGCATCTCGTCAGTAAAGCCGGTTCTGTGATTAGTAGTAAATCTCCAGCACGTGCTTTCAGATGGAGCGGCATTTACTACACAAAGCCGTAGTTCACTGACAAGCTACGCAAAATCACGTTCATAATTGAAGGCGATTCATCGGCGATTATGAACGTGATACTGTGTAGCTTGTCAGTACGAGGCTTTACTGACGAGATGCGCATGACAATCACAAGCGATTAATCGTGCAGCCCTATTTGGAACGACATGAGGGTGAGTAATTAATGACAGAATTTTCATTTTGGAGTGAACTATCCCTTTAACAGAGAGAAACTGACAAACGAAAGTGGAGAAGAGGATGAGTCGGGACTGGACTAGCGCGGATCGAGGAGGTCTGGATGTGGGATGGGCTCCGGCGCGGTCGGTTCTGGACAGAATGGGTTCGTGTGTTTGTGGGTCACACCGGGGCCATCCTCCGCCGCTGGTCATCTGTGCTGAAGGCGCCGGCTGAGACTGGTCTGGTCTGGTCTGGACTGGGTTTCGAGCATCTGTGGTCCTCTAGTGGCCATCCTGGGCACCGATCATCTCCTCGGCACGCCGGTGCGTCTCCAGGGCCTTCATGGTGGAGTTATCCTGAGGCAGCTCGGACTTGCGTCGCATCAGGGGACGTTCTCTACGCTGGTCTCTGTGGAGCTGCGCGGAGAGACAAAATAAAAGAGCGTGAAATGACATTTGCACAGAATATCCGTTGGGAAGCTTAAAGGTGACATATCATGAAAATCTGACTTTTCCAGGTTTTAAGTGCTATAATCAGGTCCCCGGTGCATCTACCAACCAAGCAAACGTGAAAAAGATTAACCCAGTAACTTTATTTAGGTAAGCCTTTTTCTGCAAGCGTCTGAGAAAACCAGCACGTCTGATTTCTCTCTCTTGGTGACGTTGCAAAGGGATCTCATTATAATATTACCGCCCCTTAATCTGCAAGTTTCCTCCCACGGTGCCGTCATTTTGATTTCGCAAACGACAGCGATGTAGCAGCTCTAATGCCATGGTGAAAGTTTGAGCAAAACACGCTAACTGTTCTGTGTTTAGCTGCACAGACGAGCACAGAACACTGTTTAGAGTCCCAGCCTCAGAGGAGACGACAGAGCAGTGCATTTATTGATGTATTTACTGTATATTGCTGCTGCCATACAGATCTAAAATAAACATGTGATTTATTTCCCAGCCGTTTACCGTCACAGACATAACCCACTGTTTTTGTTTTTGTAACTCGTGTGTTTTTAACGTAAACTTGTGTGTGAATGAGAACTTAGTTTAGTGCTCACATGCTGCGACAGCCGCTTTCTGTGTGTGTGCACTCAGAAAACCGTATATAAGAAGTTTAAACTAATATAACAAACATGACGGTTGTAAATTAAATAGTTTTATATATAGATTTATTCTTCAATGTGTAATATATTTTTTCAAGCGCATTATGAAAACTTACATACAAGGAGCTCTAAAATATATTTAGAATGTTTACAGCTCTTTTGCTTTTGACTATCTACAAATGTTAAATCTACAAATAAAATGTTAAAGGGTCATATGATGCTTTATTATTTTGTGTATTTGGTGTAACAGAACATGTTGACATGCTTTAATGTTCAAAAAACACATTATTTTTCAAATACTGTACATTATTGTAGGTCCTCTATGCCCCGCCTCTCTCAAACGCTTCGTTTTCTACAAAGTCCCTCCTTCCGACAAGCACAGTCTGCTCTGATTGGCCAGCTGACCCAGTGCATTGTGATTGGCCGAACACCGCAAGCACTCGTCGGAAATGTAACGCCCCTTACCATAATCGCGTGACAGACACAGTGATGAAGCTGGTATGTGTTTGCAGTACACAAGCCACGGTTAAGACAGCTGACTCCACTGTGATGTGTCTCTCTCTCTCTCACACACACGCGTGCGCACACACACACACACACACACACACACACACACGCGTGCACACACACACACACTCTCTCGCACTCTCTCTCTATATCATTGAACAGTCAATAGCAAATACTTAAAACTAATAACTTTGATAAAGAATATCTCTTTGGTTTTGAGACTTTAGTCTTTGCAACTTCAGGGATCTTATCTATGCACAATCAGCTTGTAACACTCCAAAGAGAAAGCAAAACTTGAAATCGCATCATATGACCCCTTTAAGGTTGTAACTGCATCTGTCCAAAAAAAAATAAATAATCGGAAGTAATTGGCTGATTTTTATTACAGTAATTTTCAAAGCTTCCCATGTACTCTCATTATAAAAAAGAACTTTATTCATAGTTTTTTAGTACGTTTTTGCTCAAAGCTAACCAAAATTTAAAATAATTTGTTTATAATCTCTACACAGGATAGACTTGGTGTTGTTTCCAAAAAAAAAAAAAAAGGAAATATATATTGGCATGGGCAATTGGCCAAAATGAATTGAAAAGTATCGGCAAAAAAACAAAATTGTGCATTCCTAAACATATTTCAACATTAAATTTGAATATGAAATTCTATACACAAAATACTAGAAATAATAGCATAAATAGCATTCAATCCAAACAATTAATTAAATTCTTTGTAATTATGCAAGGATGTACATTATTCAAAAGTCTGGGGTCAGTAAGATGTTTTTTGTAAGAAATGAATACTTTTATTCATCAAGGACACATTAAATTGATCAAAAGTGACAGTAAAGACATTTCTAATGTTACAAACGACTTCTATTTCAAATAAATGCTGTTCTTTTTAACTTTTTTATTCATCTGTGAATCCTAAAAAATAAAATGCATCACAGTTTCCACAGAAATATTGTGCAGCACGACTGTTTTCAACATTGATAATAATCAGAAATGTTTCTGGAGCAGCAGATCAGCATATTATACTGATTTCTGAAGATCATGTGACACTGAAGACTGGAGGAATGATGCTGAAAATACAGCTGCACATCACAGAAATACATTACATTTTAACACATATTCACATAGAAAACAGCTGTTTTACATTCTAATAATATTTCAAAATTTTTAAAGTATTTTTGAGCAAATAAATACAGAAGAGACTTATTTCAAAAACACTTAAAATTACAGTTTAACAGATAGTCATATAGAAAAAACAGCTATAATAATATTTCACAATTTAATAATACATTTTACTGTATTTTTGATCAAATAAATGCAGCCTTGGTGAGCAGAAGAGACTAATATTAAAAATAAAAAAAACATTTAAATCTCACTGACCCCAAACCTTTCTTTAAATGGTAAAACATCTTCTACCTGAGTGGCTTCTTCTTCTACGGTCTTCTTTAGCATCATGACATCTTCAATGATCGGCCCGTCTGTCTCCATGTCCATCGGACTGCTGAGGCTGCTGGAGTCGATGTACATCAGAAACTAAAGCAGAAAAAGTCATTATCAAAACCTCTGAAATACTACTGAATACATACCGTGAAACCGATATAACTTTGAAAAATACCGTGATATACATTTCTGGTCATACCGCCCAGCACTACATGCAACCATTTTAAATAAAGACAATGCACATTAGTTTCCAATAACAATAGCAGTTAAGCACGTCAATTGCCAAAAAAAGAAATTCAGACTTGTTTGTAAAATAAAAATGTAAATAGAAATGCACAACCATTGTAAGTGTATTACCATTAAAGGGTTAGCTGACCTCTTACGTCACCCACCCGGAGCTGCTTCAGTGTACAATAGTGAGCGCAAGCTAGATTCAACTGATTATTACGTTTTGAATATGGATATTTTTCTTACAAAAACGCATGGATTCGCTACAGGAGGCCGTTGTTCACCCCCCGGAGCCGTGTGAGAGACTTTATTATTATGGATGGGTGCTTTTTATTTCACTTCTTTTGGACTGATGCATGCAACACCCGCTGAGTGCCATTAAACAGCTTGAAAGATCAAAGACCATTTTTAATATAACTCCAATTGGATTCGTCTGAAAGAAGAAAGTCATATACACCTAGGATGCCTCGGGGGTGAGTAAAACACAGCCTAATTTTCATTTTTGGGTGAATTAACCCTTTAACACGCATTGTTTATAAACTGATAGATGAGTCAAAATGATTGACAGCTTCTACTGAACCTGGAATATATTCATCTAAATACATGACAGAAATGCTGTGCTATTTGCAGCTCTGAGTTCAGCCCACACGAGTCATACAGAGCCGTTTACCTGTGGGTTTGACTTGGCGAGATTCTCGATCTTTATCCACGCCTCCTCGCGCTCTTTCCACTTCACCTTTTCTCTAATGTTCAGAGAGAAAGGAAGAGTTTAGCCAGACGAGCGTGACTCAAAGTCTGAGTGAGTGTGGGAAAGTGCTTCCTACTTGTTCTTCTCGGCTCTGAACTGCTGTGTGCAGTCGTCAAAGAGCTTCTGATTCATCTCCATGAAGAGCTTCAGAGCGTTATAGATCAGCCCATGGATCGTCCTGACGACAGGAAGAGGAAGTGACAACGTCAAACAACTCTTCATCTAACAGACTGAACATCTAAACAGTGTAGATCAGTCAGTAGAAAAGTAAAATCATGTACTTATATCATAATTTTATTCTTTATAACAACATGCACAATATCAACTATTATAAAATGATGTGCATCTTAATTTTTCATCAAAACGACTGTAGCATTGGCTATATATTTGTTTTGGTTGGTTAATGGCAATGGACCGGAGGGATCTGGTTACATTGTGCTCAATCAATAAATCAGAGAAATATGATGGAGCCATACCATTTAGTGACTTATAGACAATAAGTCAAATGTTAAAATCTACAACTCACAGGCAGCCAGCGTAAGGACTGTAAAACTGGAGTGATATGATTTCAATTTCATTAGATTATATATATATATATATATATATATATACATACAGAAAACTGACTATGTACTGTCTTGATATTGTGCATGTTACTGTAAACTACACAAATATATATATAGCTTTATTTTTTTAATATATATTTTTCTATATTTAACTATATATGTGACCCTGGAGCACAAAACCAGTCATAAGGGTCCATTTTACAAAATTGAGATGTATGCATCATCTGAAAGCTGAATAATAATCTTTCCATTGATGTACGGTTTGTTAGGATCGGACAATATTTGAAAATCTGGAATCTGAGGGTGCAAAAAAATCTAAATATTGAGAAAATCATCTTTAAAGTTGTTCAAATGAAGTTCTTAGCAATGCATATTACTAATCAAACATTAAGTTTTGATATATTTACGGTAGGACATTTACAAAATATCTTCATGGAGCATTATCTTTACTTAATATCCTAATGATTTTTGGCATAAAAGAGAAATGTATAATTGTGATCCATACAATGTATTGTTGGCTATTGCTACAAATATCCCCCAGCGACTTAACACTGCTTTTGTGCTGCAGGGACACATTTATATATATATACCTAACCTAACCTAACCCTAACATACATCAGTCAAGCATCATAATTTTATTTTTATTTTAATATCTAGTTTTTCCATTTTCTATGCTCTTTAATCATTATAATTAAACAGGCTGTTTCTAATATTCTACATGTTAACAAGCTTTCTTATTCTTTGCACTCTCTGTATGCGTAAAACCCCTCTGACTCACTCACTTTTTACCAAATTAGTCAATATTCTCGATAACCGGGGGAACGCTAGTCTCCCAGAATAAAGACTTGTGAACAGTGACTCACTTGTTCCAGTGGGTTTTGGAGTTTCGGTACAGTGAGGGGAACATGATGGGCAGGATCCTCGCCGCGTTATCGCTGATTAAACTCATGATGTACTCGTTATTCCAGTAGTAGAGAGCTCGCTCCGCAACCTGAGGACGACATGAATGTAATAACAGTTAGATAGGGATTGTTTCATGAACGCGTGCTGCTTTCTGTGGGTCCAGCAGACCTGGAAATGTGGACTGGAGACGCATTTGGCCAGCTGTCTGAATAAGGGCTCCATGACTTTAACAAACTCTGACGGCTCGATGACGTCCAGAATCTCTTCCAGCTCGTTCAGAAACATCACCTCCTTTGGACTGTGAGTCTTTGGCCAGTATTTCAGAAGAGCCATCACCACCTGAAACCAAGAAAACACTCCTCAGCAACTACACCAGCGGCCAACAGCTTGGAATAATTAAGATTTTTAAGTCTCTTCTGCTCACCAAGGCTGCATTTATTTGCTCAAAAATACTTTAAAAATTTGAAATAATATTACAATTTAAAACAGCTGTTTTCTATGTGAATATCTGTTAAACTGTCATTTATTTCTGTGAGAGAGAGTGTGTGTGTGCGTGTGAGTGTGTGTGTGAGAGAGTGTGTGAGTGAGTGTGTGTGAGCGTGAGTGCGTGTGAGTGTGCATGTGAGTGCGTGTGAGAGTGTGTGTGTGTGCATGTGAGTGTGAATGTGAGAGAGAGAGTGTGTGTGTGTGTGTGTGTGTGTGTGTGTATATATATATATATATATATATATATAAAACTTGTTTTTGATATTCTTCATATTCTATGTGCTGGTCAGTTCACAGCAGTGATAGAAATTAATCTGTTCCAATTACATTTTATGGGCATTTTTATCTTTATAAAGCCTTTTTTTCTTTCTAAAAGTGTGCATCATCTTTTGAGTCAAATTCTTACATTTAATCAGTCAATTAGAATAATAAGACATTTGGGCTGTTACCAAACAAATTATATCGGTATCAACAAAATGCATCTTTGCAATGCAGAGGAAACACAGAAGCTGCATCTGAAGAGGCCTATTTATACTCTATTTAATTCAGCTCAGAGGGACATGAGTGCATTTAACCTGCAGTTACAAATGCATGAATCATATTTTGGTATTTTAAACATAAAACACTGAATACTGATATTTTCAATTATTTAAAAAATGAAAAGATACTTTAAATGTGAACTGAAAACTGTGTAAGTGTAAGAATACTGCTGGGAAGCATCGCCCAAAATAACATGCATATGCCTTTTCAGCAGGAATAACATATGCAAATTGATAAAGCAGTTAGACAGAGCACAGAAACCGAACAGCAGATGGAGCTGAAACCCACCGGCTCAGTGAGCGTGCTGTCCTTCTCTAGAAACTGAACCACACAGTAAGCCAGCTGAAGAACCAGAAACAACAACAACAGTCAGTCCTCATCTTCATAATGCACCTCAAACACACAGCAATCAGTAACAAATTACATTTTTTATAAAAAAAATTTTTTTTTTTTATGATCATTAAGATTTTCCATCAAAATAGTCATTATATTAATGCATATAGATGTTTAATTTTTGACTTAGTTGGATTTTCCTGAATGACAATCTAATGTAATTTATGCAGAATTAAAATGAATGGAATATACATTTACAAATTTTACAAAATTTTCTATAAATGTATATATTTATATAAATGTCTTTATTTATTTTCTATAATAAAAATGAATTTTAATTATATGAATAATGACAAAATAATATATATTATTTATTTATATTATATATAATATAAATATATATATATATATAGATCATAAAAAATATATAAAATGTATATATTTATATAAATGTCTTTATTTATTTTCTATAATAAAAATGAATTTTAATTATATGAATAATGACAAAATAATATATATTATTTATTTATATTATATATAATATAAATATATATATATATATATAGATCATAAAAAATATATAAAATCTGTAATGTGGAGGGGAGTAGAATTAGTCAGCAATTATATATATATATATATATATATGCTTAATTAGAATGACACAAACACAGTGTCATATGTTAAAAAGAAAAATAACTTTTTCAACAAACTGTGAAATATGAATGGATATAGACTCCAGATCGTACCTGTGGGTGATAAACACTGAGGGACTTGACTTTATGCAGAGGTAACAACACTTTTAAAAGGAAGATTTTGTGCTCTTCTTTCAGCGGTAAGGCGAAGCCGTTAATGATGCTGGAGCAAAAGAGAAAAACAAGACGTGAAACGGTGAAGAATTACAAAGACTTCATGAATGAGGTTTCAAACACACTAGAACAGAGACACGGTGTTCATAAAACAATCAAAGACACCAATAATATCATTATTATAATGCCACTTCATCAAGCAACAGTGATTCGTCACAATAATACACAATCAAATTAATCTGTTCGAATGTTGCTTGGATTAACAAAAAATGTTTCGTACCTTCCTAATATTTCCAGTAGTTCGGCTATTCCGTTATGATGCTCTGTTTCATAGATGAACCTGTATGGAGATTAAACACATATTGTGTATCAATTTATATATTACAGATATTATGCATCAATCAATAAAATCATAGTATAATCGATCTAGAGTTCCCCAAATCTTTAAGATCTAACCAAAAACTGATTGAGGGATGTGGGCCAAAAATAAATGATATATTAAAATGAATTAAATTTGTAAAAAATGCAACACATTTAAACAACTTTTTGAAATTTTAAAAATATTTTTAAAATCAAATTCTCTTATATTGCTTTTACATTTCAATGCAAAAAAAAAGATATGCTTCAAGGGCATGTTTTTTCTTATTTTCCAAATCAAATCAAAGTTTATCAGGGGTCAACTTTGGCAGATATTATATTAAGTTTCACTCAGAAATGTCTTGTTATGAAACTAGTGTAGGGCGACTTTTCCGATTTTATCGATTCATTCGAATGTAATGTTTTGCCATGATTTAATTTTTTAGAAATCAAGGAATCGCGATTTTGAATAGAAATATTACCAAACGTTTGTCTAACATTTACATCTTCATGCGTGCTGCACTTGAAATAGAATTCTCGTTAACTAAAGGGTTAACGGAGAACAAGTTACATGAATCATGTTGTAGTTACATTTTCAAGTCGACTAATTAAAAATCGTAATAAAAAAACGTTCTGAAAAAAAAAAGAGATTTTAATTTTTTGCCCTATATGAAAGTTGAATGCATTGCAAGTCCTGTGAGTGTGTGTGTGTGAGAGAGTGAGTGAGTGAGTGTGAGTGTGTGTGTTTAATGAATATCACTACTACCACCACCAATAATAATAACAATTTCATTATAATTAAGCACACTAAAAAAACATCCACTTATTCTCATTTATAGGATTTTTACTGTATTGCAGTGAAAACAATATTGTAATAAAATGATTTTGTTAACAAGTAAAAGACTGTACAACAAATAATAGTATCATATACATATATACATATTATATATTCACCATTCAAATGTTTGGGGTTGGTGAGATTTTTTCAATGTTTCTGAAATAAGTCTCTTCTGCTCACCAAGGCTGCATTTATATGATCAAAAATACAGTAGAAATTGTGAAATATTATTAGAATCTAAAATATCTGTTTTCTATGTGAATATCTGTTAAACTGTAATGTATTTCTGTGATGCGCAGCTGTATTTTCAGCATCATTCCTCCAGTCTTCAGTGTCACATGATCTTCAGAAATCAGTATAATATGCTGATCTGCTGCTCGAGAAACATTTCTGATTATTATCAGTGTTGAAAACAGTTAATATTTTTGTGGAAACTGTGATGCATTTTATTTTTCAGGATCCACACATGAACATAAAGTTCAAAAGAACAGCATTTACTTGAAATAGAAATCTACTGTAACATTATAAATGTCTTTACTGGCACTTTTGATCAATTTAATGCATCCTTGCTGGATAAAAGTATTAATTTCACCTGCAGGTGAGGCCAGGCCGCTTCTAATGTGGGTTCATCCTCCTCGGGGTCAAACTCTGCGCCGGTTGGGTTGGATGATGGCGGTAACGCCCTAAACATGTTGACTGCAAACTGAAACAAACAAACCACATAAAATGAAAAATGTGTATATAGATTAAGGCTGCACACTATATTCGAAAATATCGCAAATGTAAATATCGTGATATGCATATTGCAATGGCGTGCGATATCTGAATCATTTTAATAATAAGCTATTAAATCAAAACGTTGCAAAAGGTCAAAGTTTTAGTTTGACGTATATAGCAGAGAATTGCTTGACGTTAAAAAGAGTTATTAAGTGCAATAAGTTGCAGAAAACAACTCTTTGCCGTCTCGTCTTGCTGACTCACTCACACCTGAAGCGCGCGCACAAGCCGCATCTCAAGCAGCGTATCTTCAATTCTGACACACACCTGCAAAGCGCGCGCGCACACAGAGAGAAACGCGTTTCAGATCGCGCGCGAACACCGAGTTTATTCGTCTTTCGCATCTCCTCGTGTTTGAACAGACACATACACACAGAATTATGTCAATAGTACCCGTCTCGACGATCGATCTCGTAAACGCAGTCGGTTATGTTTTAAATGAATGTAAACAGCTGAGAAAGAAATCGGATGTGTATCATTATACTAGATCCGTGCAGTCGGATTTAAAGGGACAGCAGCCTATAAATACCTGCTGCTGATTATGTCACTAATGTTAATCAAACAACAACAAAGCTATAACAAAGATTAATCTCAATTGAATTCATACAGTGAACACTATGCAGTGTTATTTTACACTTAATTATTACATTTCTGTACCTGAATACTATTTATTTTATCTATGCTTGTAAATTGTGTATTTGTTATTTTTTTCCCCCTTTTTCTTTCTTATTATTGCTGACTGTTCACTTGCCTTTAATCATGTTTGAACTTTCTCAGACTCTAGTTTTTGCTGTGGCATATGAAGAAGTACTTAAAGTGTGTGGAAAGCAAAGTCACAATGATATACAATTAGTATATTAGTATTAAATTTTTTTGTCATTCACATTTATGTTAAAATTACATTTTCTGATTTGTGACATTACTTTTTATGTACTGCTAAAACACTGCTGGTCACTTTCAGAAGTTGTAGTGATTATTTCTTGTCCAAGAAAGAATGTGAAACAAATTGGTTACATAATTTTCATTTTTAAATATTTAAAAATATAATTTAAATAGATTTTTCACACTTTAAGCAATATCGTATCGCATATTGAATTTTAACAAGGTATCACGTATCGCATTTTTCAGGGTTCGTACACATTTTTACCAATACATTTCCATGACTTTTCCATGACTTTTGAGACAATATTCATGACCTAAATGTTCCATTATTTTACAATAAGAATAAAAATCTGTTCAAATTATCATAGCATACAGTATGTTAACTAAAATGAATGACTATTAATGCTACTCGTTTGCTTTCTTGTTTTAGTAATAAGTACAAGCTGCAACTGCGCCAGACCTTACTCCACATTTCACATCACTGAATATTATCATTTATTTAACTGTGTGGCCAGGATGGCCATTTTGGTGTCATTTTGTGTGTATTTTTGCT